AGAGAGGTAGCTAGCCAGTGCCTCCTCCACTCGTGGCATCACTCCGTAGCCGTGCTGTCTGATCTCCGTCACGTTGCCGTAGTCCAGCCGGGGGGACGTAGACAGCCGTGCAGAGAAGGGTTTGTTCCACGATCTTCACAACGTGTGGGAGAAACCGAGAAACGGGCTCCCGATCGGGGACGAGGACCGGAAAAAGGCCTCAGCCGTTCCGGCACCCTCAGCGATCTCGCGTTGCGATCCCCAGGATCGGAGCCGACGTGATGCCACAGCAACCGCAGGGCCTGTGCCACGGGGGGAGCGCATCCGACCATCCTCTAGAAAAAGGGCCGCTTGAGACCTCAGCACCCTCAGGGGCAGGGCCTCGCAATGGTCGCAGGCAGCCCCCTCGAGAGCTGCCTGAGCGTGCGACATCCCCAGGCATGAGACGCACATCCCATGGGTATCACCTTCCATGATGAAACGCTCACATGGAAAGACACACTGTCGAGATCGCTTCGACATGATCTGCTTCGTCTCGACTTTAGGTAGGATGATGGAGCTTCCAAACATAGCCAGAGTGCCTGCTGAATAGAAAGAAGCTAATGTGTCCTATGTGCTTATTTTCCCCCTCCGGTTACGCCATCACACACTACCGTTCTAGTACCACCAATAGGATTGGAGTAGTTTCATTCATAGTTCAGCCCTGCCACGCCCAGAGGCGTTCCCATAGTGTCGTCACCGACGCAGTTCGAGTTCCCTCGAGGGGGAACATACGGCTGACAATGAAAGTCGAAAGCGGACAGAAAGCAGCATGTACATGTCTGTAGCTGTATTATACGGCGAGAGAAACTGAAAATGTTTAAATTTGACTTGTCTTTAAGTAGTTGCAGTTGGATGGATTCATTATTATTGCTATCAATATTATTATTATTTTAAAATTGCATTACATTAAACTATATGACTTGATGTGCTGTAAAAATATTTGTATAATAATTATATTGATTGTCAATCTAGGAACAGCATGATGTACACATAACAACCTGCAGTTAGTAAAAGGAAAGTTTGTTTAGCTCAAAGGACTGTGCTGAAGAAATTCAGCAAAGTCAAGTTATTATCACTTAACACCAAAAGATTAAGTATCTGTGAATAGAGAATGTTCAACATAAAAGCATGCATAAAAGAGTGAAAACAAATCGATTATCAAAATTGTTGCTGGTTAATTATCTGATCAAGCAGTCAATTACTTAAATTGTCTATTCAGCTTTATGCAAGATGTGCCTTACCAGAAAGAGAATTTTTTTCCCGTCTGATGAAAACAAGTGTCACTGTAACATATTTTGTTTCTGTGAAATGTAGAAATGACAGGAGATGTTTGAAGTTTGAAAGTGATTGTTTAATAAAGAGAACTTGAATTGTAATAATGGAGTTGTATTCGTAGTTTTTTAGAACTACTATCTGAAAATGGGCATTTTATAAATTTTAAGTTGACTATTAGTAATTTTGTTGAGTGAGTTCCCATTAGTATTTGAGTCTAGCACAATACATTGTTTTGAGTAGATTTCCCTCAGAGTATAAGTTGTACACAGTTCCAATTATTGAGTAAAGAATTAGTCAGTGGAATTCAATTTTAATAAGCATCAGTGAATCAGTGTAATTTAGTATGCAGAAATTAAAGTATTAAAAAAATTTAAGTATTATTGTGGTCAGGCACCATCTTATCTTAAAGAGCTCATAGTACCTTACTACCCCACCAGAGCACTGCGCTCCCAGAATGCAGGGTTACTTGTGGTTCCTAAAGTAGAATGGGAGCCAGAGCGTTCAGCTATCAAGCTCCTCTCCTGTGGAACCAGGTTCCAGTTTGGGTTCAGGAGGCAGACACCATCTCCACATTTAAGAGTAGGCTTTGTAGACTTTCCTCTTTGATAAAGCTTATAGTTAGGGCTGGCTCAGGTGAGTCCTGAACCATCCCTTAGTTATGCTGCTATAGGCCTAGACTGCCGGGGGATTTCCCATGATGCACTGAGCTCCTCTCTCCTCTACTTTCTCTCCCTCTGTATGCAACCTCATCCCATTATTGCATGTTACTAACTCAACTTGTCCCCTTTCCGGTAGTCTTGTGTTTTCTCGTCCCTCTCCTCTCTCCTCCTATCACTTCCTGCAGGTGTTTCTGGCTCTGGATCTGTGGTTGCGAGTCACCTGCTGCTCCGGTGTTCCTGCTCAACACCCTCTGCTACAACTATTGTTACTAGTCCTATTGTTATTATTACTATTATTATCATTAACATTACGATTGTTATCATTAACGTTACTGTATAAAGGTTCTGGTCATGTAATTAGAAAAAATTTATTTATTTCAGTAATTCCATTCAAAAAGTGAATTCATTCATTACACACAGATGTTATGTGTTGTGTGTGTTGTGTGTGTGATGTTTATTTCATTTAATTGTGATGATTAAAACTGAAAACGAATTAAAATCCCAAATTCAGTATCTCCGAAAATTTGAATATTACTTAAGACTAATACAAAAAAAGGATTTTTAGAAATGTTGGCCAACTGAAAAGTATGAACATGAAAAGTATGAGCATGTACAGCACTCAATACATTTACATTACATTTACTCATTTGGCAGATGCTTTTATCCAAAGCAACAATACTTAGTTGGGGCTCCTTTCGACTGAATTACTGCAGCAATGCAGCGTGGCATGGAGGTGATCAGTCTGTGGCACTGCTCAGGTGTTATGAGAGCCCAGGTTGCTCTGATAGTGGCCTTCAGCTCTTCTGGGTCGGGCGTATCGCATCTTCCTCTTCACAATATCCCATAGATTTTCTATAGGGTTAGGGTCAGACGAGTTTGCTGGCCAATTAAGAACAGGGATACCATGTGGTGCCAAGTCCTGTTGGAAAATGAAATCTGCATCTCCATAAAGTTGGTAAGCAACAGGAAGCATGAAGTGCTCTAAAACTTCCTGGTAGACGGCTGCGTTGACCTTGGACCTCAGAAAATACAGTGGACCAACACTAGTGGACCAACACCAGCAGATGACATGCAGATGACATGATGGGGTGCCCCAAACCATCACTGACTGTGGAAACTTTGCACTGGACTTCAAGCAACATGGATTCTGTGCCTCTCCTCTCTTCCTCCAGACTCTGGGACCTTGATTTCCAAAGGAAATGCAAAATTTACTTTCATCAGAGAACATAACTTTGGACCACTCCACTGTTTCACAATCCTCTCCAGGGTGCGGTTATCCCTATTGCTTGTACACTTTTTTCAACCACATCTTTTCCTTCCCTTCGCCTCTCTATTAATGTGCTTGGACACAGCTCTGTGAACAGCCAGCCTCTTTAGCAATGACCTTTTGTGTCTTGCCCTCCTTGTGCAAGGTGTCAGTGGTCATCTTTTGGACAGCTGTCAAGTCAGCGGTCTTCCCCATGATTGTGTAGCCTACAGAACTAAACTGAGAGACCATTTAAAGGCCTTTGCAGGTGTTTTGAGTTAATTAGCTGATTAGAGTGTGGCACCAGGTGTCTTCAGTATTGAACCTTTTCACAATATTCTAATTTTCTGAGATACTGATTTTGGGATTTTCATTAGCTGTCAGTTATAATCATCAAAATTAAAAGGAATGAACACTTGAAATATATCAGTCTGTGTGGATTGAATGTATACATTATACAAGTTTCACTTGGATGGAATTACTGAAATAAATCAACTTTTTGATGATATTCTAATTATATGACCAGCACCTGTATATCTGTACCATTTTTCATTTAGTCTATAGCAACATCACCTTTACTGTCTGTACCTCTGTGTGTATATTGTGTAGGCTGCCTCCCTCCCCTCTCTCTCTCTCCTTCCATCTCTCTCTCTCTTTCTCTATGTTCCTCTCTTGCCCTCTCTCTCTCTCCCTCTCTCTCTCCCCTCTCTCTCTCTCCCCCCCAACCGGTCGAGGCAGATGGCCGCCCAACCTGACTGACAACCTGTGGAAATCTTGCGTCTTGCAGATCTATCGTGACAAACCAATCCTTGGATTGGATGTGACTGATGATGGCGGGGATGGTAAGCATCCTGAACCTGAATCTCCTCAGAGATTGGTTCAGGGACCGCAGATCTAAAATAGGACGCAATCCTCCGTCCTTCTTGGGAACCAGGAAGTATCGGCTGTAGAAGCCGGCTTCTCCGACCGGCGGGGAAATGAGTTCTATGGCCCGTCTCTTTAGCAGAGAGCCAACACCTGGTTCTGTTCTGCGTGTACTGCAGTCCCGACCATCCCGCAGAATCTGGGGGGGCGAACCCAGAACTGCAGCCTGTAGCCATCCACTACTGTGCGCAGGACCCACAGGGAAATGTTTGCGAGGCTTCCGCGAAATTCGTCATGCTCGAGGTTTCTGCCTCTTAATGGAAGTTTTTCCTTGCCTCTGTCGCCTAGTGCTGCTCTTGGTGGGAACTGTTGGGTTTCTGTAAATAACATCACAGAGTACGGTCTAGACCTGCTCTTTATGAAAAGTGTTCTGAGATAACTGTTGTTGTGATTTGGCGCTATAAAAATAAAATTGAATTGAATTGAATTATATTTAAGTTAAGTGTACTCAAAAATAATATTATTATAACCGCTACATAAACATTTTGAGGTAATCAGTTTCCACAAATATTAGAGTATTCTGAAATTAAAGGGAACACAAAAATAACAAATCCCAGATCTGAATGAATGAAATAATCTCATTAAATACTCTTTACATTTTTCTTTACAATTATTTACATACTTGTGCTGACAACAAAATCACACAAAAATTATCAATGGAAATGTGGTGCCCGTGTTGCAACTACCCCCCAATTTTAACTGCACCTTAGTTACCTCACACCTTATCTCCACTCCACCATACAACACAAACTATTACATGGATCCAACACAATACAATATATGCATGCAGGCTGGTGGCGGTCCCATTGGCCCAGTTCCCTGCCCCTTGGGGACTGTGGGCCTCGGGCTTCTGCACATTTCAGGTGGGAGGTGGCATGACCTTGGCCTGGGATCCGTGGTCCCCTCTCCTCGCTGCGGCCTTCTTCGGCGGAGGTGATGCTCCTGTCGCTGTCCCCTGCCGGCTCTACCAGGACAAGGATATGCAGAAGTTCTGGGGGCACATGGCCGGTGCTGACAGGGTTGGTATTTGCCTGCTCCCGTCGGTGGTGGGTCTCTGGGGGGCTGGGCCCTCATCCATGGGTTGGGCGGGCCTTGGGTTCGCGGGGCCTTGGAAGGTGGCTGGGGGCTATTGCCCCTGGTTCTCTTCCAATTGCTGCACTGTGTTGTTTTGTATGTTCTGCTTGACTGTTTTTCTCCCACAGTGCTGTTTGTTGCTGTTGTTCGGTTATCTCTTATCCATTCCCCATCTCCCCGTTTTCCTGCAGGTATCTTTTTTTTCGGCAATTGGTGTATTTTCTGTCGTTGTCCTGTTGTCATCCCCCTCCCAGTTCTCTTGCAGGTGCTGTCCTTTCTCCGTGGTGTCTGTTTGTGTGATAATGTGCTTCCCCCCATGTCTGGCCTGGTGACAAATACACATGCATAGACAATAAAGACAATAAAAATGACAAAGAACTAAATTAAAACTCCTTTGTTAAAGCTAAGTCTGTCTTGCACAACATTGTATCCAGCTCCTTATACTGCATACCAGTCTACTGGGCAGGACAGGGTGAAAAAAAACAACTTAAGTTTCAAAATGGGCCTCAGTTTTCTGTACCAGCTTTCACTTCCTTTGTGGATTACGGGTTTCAGCACACCACAAGCAGCCCGCGGTTTCCGCAGAGTAATGGAGAAGCAGAACGGGATGTCCAGACCTTGAAATACCTCCTGCAGAAGACCCTTAGGTAACACTTTCTATGAAGGTCATCGCTATAATGACTTATGCATATATTTATAACACGATATAATGCGTCCATAAAACATTTTAACAGTTGTTATAATCACTTACAAACATGCATTAGGCGCTATAGCAAAGTTCATAATGTATTATGACCTTTTGATTTAATGTTTTATAACTAATAGTAATACCAGTTTTCATCAATGTGCGTCAAGAATCTCTGACCATGTTCACATTAACAACACATTATAGCCACCGACTCTGCCTCGTTATAAATACACTTTAGTCACCATTTAGAATAAGTGATATAAAATGGAATAATAGCTTATAATAATGTTTAAAGTTATATAGCATGTCTTTGTTTGCTTTAAGTAAAGTGTTAAAATATCTATCCCTGTATAATATTTTACAGGTGGACATAATACCATATGAACTAATTATAAGACCTTATAACACGTAATTGTTTGCAAGTAAAGTGACACACATTTTGTGCAGGAAAACAACTTTTATATATGTTTCTTCACTTTATGAACAATCTGTATGAATTTTGAACATTTTGCAGTTTAGCACAAAAACACAACATAATTACATCAAGGACACCCATTCTCACGGTGGTGAAAGATCGCTTGGTACCTGGTAGAAATAGATGAACTCTAAATCCTGACTGAAAATCCTCAAATAAACCTTTGCTATGTAGAAAGTCACACAGCTGTTTGACGACTGCTTTATGGAGGTGGAAGGTTAGATATAGGTCTATAGTTGCTAAAACATCTGGATCAAGGTTGGGCTTTTTCAGAAGAGGTTTAATTACAGCTACTTTAAAGTACTGTGGTACATAGCCTGTTGATAAAGAGAGATTGATCATATCTAGTATATAAGTGCTGACTAAGGGTAAATCTTCTTTAAGCAGCCTAGTCAGGATGGGGTCTAAGATGGTTTAGATGAAGAAATTATTGAAGTTAGTTGGTAAAGATTGAGGGAAGCAAAGCAGTCTAAACATATATCTGGTTCTACAGCTGTTTCTAAGGTTCCTGAGTGTAGAGATAAGTTGGTGCCAGTTAAGGGCAGGTCTTGGTGAATTTTGTTTCTAATAGTTAGAATTTTATCATTAAATAAGCTCAAGAAGTCGTAACTACAGAGAGCTATGGGAATACTTGGCTCAATAGAGCTGTGACTCTCTGTCAGCCTGGCTACAGTGCTGAAAAGAACCCTGGGGTTGTTCCTATTTTCCTCTATTAATGACGAGTAGTACACTGCTCTGGCATTACGGAGGACCTTCCTATAAGTAAATCTTGCCAAATTAAACGAGAATTTTCCAGTTTGGTGGAACGCCAATTCCTCTCAAGTTTCCGCAATACTTGATTTAATTTGTGAGTTTCAGTATTATACCGTGGAGCTAACCGTCGTTGTTTTAGTATTTTCTTTTTTAGAGGGGCTACAAAATCAAGTGTCATTTGCAGCGAGCCTGCAGCACTATCAACGAGATGATCGATTTGGGAGGGACTGAAATTAGCATAGGAGTTACTTTGTGACTTGATAATGAATTTAGAGCTGATGGAATCACATCCTTAAATTTAGCTACAGCACTATCAGACAGACATCTTGTATAGAAATGTTTGCCCAATGGCGTGTAGTTCAGCAATACAAACTCAAAAGTTATCAAACAGTGGTCAGATAAAGAGGGATTCTGTGGGAACACTATTAAATGTTCAATTTCAATACCATATACCACAACAAGGTTGAGGGTGTGGTTAAAACAGTGAGTTGGTTCATGAACACTCTGAGAGAAGCCAATGGAATCTAACAGAGAGATAAACGCAGTACTGAAGCTGTCATTCTCAACATCCACATGAATATTAAAATCCCCTACAATAATAACTTTGTCCGTAGTTCAAACCCCAGTCGTCCCGGCCTTTCTGTGTGGAGTTGGCATGTTCTGCGTGGGTGTCCTCTGGGTTAGTGCACTGACCAACACTGATAAAGATCTGGGCGCTGCACAGCGGCTGCCCACTGCAGTGAATGCAGAGAATGAATTTCACAACATTATGTGACAATAAAGTATCTTGTCAGCTCTCTGTAGCTCAGACAATCCCTGCTAACTTTGTGTGCTAATCCATTCTTTCTTTCTTTATAATTGCTATCTTTAGAATAACAAACAGCTCTTTCATGTGTAGGTTCCCGTTTCACATTTCACCTGTGTTTTCTTGACAAAACATGGATTGGAGACCAGCGTCAGCTGACAAAGCGTAGTGTCTGACCTCCAGTCAAAGATCTGTCAAGTAGTGTGAACTTCAAAACTCCGGTCACAAGACAACAAGTTGTGTAGTGTGTCTGAGCCAGCCCTAACTATAAGCTTTATCAAAGAGGAAAGTCTTAAGCCTACTCTTAAATGTGGAGGTGTCTGCCTCCTGAACCCAAACTGGAACCTGGTTCCACAGGAGAGGAGCTTGATAGCTGAACGCTCTGGCTCCCATTCTACTTTTGGAGACTCTAGGAACCACAAGTAACGTCTCGGGTTACGTATGTAACCCTGGTTCCCCGAGAAGGGGAACGAGACACTGCGTCGGTTACGACACTATGGGAACACCTCTAGGCGAAGCAGGTCTGAACGTGAATGAAATCACTCCAATCCTATTGGCTTGTTGCTAGAACGGTAAGGTGTGATGGAATAACCGGAGGAGTATAAAGCACACCTGTACACACTCATCATTAGCTTAAACTATGAAGCAGGCACTTCAGGCGGGGAGAGAGGTGCGGCGGGCCGACGCAGTGTCTCGTTCCCCTTCTCGGGGAACCAGGGTTACAAACGTAACACGAGACGTTCCCCTTCGAACTGTCGGTTACGACACTATGGGAACGAGATACCCACTAAACTGTGCCGAAAACCCCGCCTGACCCAGTGTGCAGTAAAGTGGCACGACTAAGAGGAGAGCGCACGAGTGCCAGGTGTCGAAGGAAGGTCAAGACTGTAAAACCGAATGAATGTGTGCGGAGTGGCCCAGCCAGCCGCTAAACAAACATCCTGCAAAGAGGCCCCGGAAAGGAGGGCTCGAGAGGCTGCCATGCCTCTGGTAGAATGAGCCCTCACAGCCACAGGTGAAGGCAAACCGCGCACCTGATAGGCCAGGGAAATAGTTAATAATACTATTAGCCAGTTGCTAATAGTATGTTTGGATGCGGGGAGCCCGGCCCTGGGAGACCCAAAACACACTAGCAGCTGGTCAGCCTTCCTCCAACAGGAGGACCTCAGAGTGTAAATACTCAGTGCTCTGACAGGGCAGAGCAGATGAAGTCTCCCGTCCTCCGCTGTCACATGAGGTGGAGGATGAAATGCCTGCAGCACTGTGGACCCTGCTGCACAAGAAGGCACTTTGGGGATGTATCCTGATTGATGCACCTGCCAGGATCCCCTTGCAAAGCGGCTGCCCATGACCGCGCCCCAGCCCATGAGGGAGGCGTCTGTCGAAATGACCAGCCGGCGACAAGACCCTCCCAGCACGGGCGCCTGGGACAGGAACCAAGTTTCCTTCCAAACTAATAGGGAACAAAGACACTTGCGCGTAACCCAAATCAGACGGAGGAAAAACCCTTGTTCCTTAGCCACCACTGCAGGGGTCTCATGTGCAGCAGTCCAGATGGTATTACGCTGGACGCAGCCGCCAGGAGACCCAACACTCGTTGAAAGTGTTTTATAGTGATGGCGTGGCCTAACTTCACCCCTTTCACGGCAGCCACCACTGCAGGGGTCTCGTGCAGCAGTCCAGATGGTATTACGCTGGACGCAGCCGCCAGGAGACCCAACACTCGTTGAAAGTGTTTTATAGTGATGGCGTGGCCTAACTTCACCCCTTTCACGGCAGCCAATATGGTGTCGACACGTGCCGGAGACAATTGTGCCCGCATCGTTGTCGAATCCCATACTACCCCTAGGAACGTAGTCCGTTGGGTGGGCGCCAGCACACTCTTCTTTGCGTTGAGCCTTAGCCCTAAACGCCGCAGATGAGCCAGAACGACATCTCGATGCCGAACCGCCAACTCTCGAGATTGGGCTAGGATGAGCCAGTCGTCGATGTAGTTGAAATCCGGATGCCCTGGAGCCTCAGCGGGGCCAGTGCTGCATCCATGCACTTGGTGAATGTGCGAGGGGAAGTGCCAGGCCGAATGGAAGAACCCGATACTGGTAAGCCACACCCCCGAAGGCGAACCTCAGGAACTTCCTGTGAGAAGGACGGATGGAGACGTGGAAATAGGCGTCCTTTAGATCTATCGTGACGAACCAATCCTCAGATGTGCGTCACGATGGCGGGGATGAGCATCTTGAACCTGAATCTCCTCAGAGATCGGTTAGAACCCGCAGATCCAAAATAGGGCGCAGCCCTCCATCCTTCTTGGGGACTATGAAGTACCGGCTGTAGAACCGGCGTCTCTGTCTGGGGGGTAGACAGGTTCCACAGCCCCTTTCCTCAGCAGAGTACGAACTTCCTGTCCCAACACCGGACCTTGCTCCGGGCGGACCAAACCACCCCCTCTCTTCTGTTGAATTTGGAGGGCGGGTTTTGAACTGTAGTCGAAACCCATGTATGGCAGTGCGCAGGACCCACGGAGAAATGTTCGTCAGGTTCCGCCAAGCCTCTGCAAAGTCTGCCAACGGAACCAACCCCTCGGGGCTGGTAGTCAGTGTCTCGTGTGATCTTCTGGTGGACCCCTGAAGCCCCATAACGGCAGGGGAGAGCCGCCGAAGATCCACGGTGAGTGAGTCTGAACGCCGCCTGACTGCAGACCCTCGGGGCAGGCAGTACGGCGTGGACTCGATGGTGGCAGGTGCGTCCTGAACGTGTAAACGGCGGGATAACATCACCCGTTGCCACGGCGAAGGGGACCTCGATCGGCCTCAGGGGGGGGTGCGTGAGGGGAGAAAGACTCCCCTACCCCGGTCTTCCCTGAGCTCCGTCGGGACTGGATGACGGTCCTCAGATCGCGTCTCTCAGAATGCTGAGGGTGAGAGCG